CTTGAAATATATCTCAAAAATTACTCTTGTTACACACTCTTATACTCCTAATGTATTAGTTAAACACTTAACATATTAATTAAATCCTAATATATTAATTAAATGATTAATATACTGATTAAATACTTAATATATTAATTAAATGACTGATATATTAATTAAATGCTTGGTATACTAATTAAATACTTAATATACAAATTAAATACTCTTATAAATGTACTCTTATTCCTAAAACAAACAGTTTACCGCTAGCTTGAGGAACTCTGTTGCTATTTTTATCCGCAGAGTTACATTTTCAAGACGACAGAAGTAGTAATAGTGATCACTGACAGCTTATTAAAATGCAATTCGAAATTTTCTAGTTTCAATGTGCTCTATCTTCGGGTAGCTGGTTTCTAAATGCTTCTCTTCCGCGAGCAGTGATTTTGACAGATTTTTCGATGCCTCGAAGTGCAGCACAGAAATGCTGACATTTTGAAAAAGAATATAAAATTCTGATTTCAGCACCTACGGGAATGAAAAAAGACAGGAGAAAACAGTAACTGCATAAAAAGGCGCTCTCAGAGAACGAATAACTCATATTAAAGTAAAAGAAAATCGTAGTGAATTTTTTTTTTTTTTGGAATATCTGGTTTTATGCTTTATTTAGTGAACTGCTTTGTTATTCACCTCGAACAACAGATTGACGTAGCTGGCATTTCTCAGGTCGCAAAAGAATTTATCAAAACGTCTTGTAAACAGGCGAAAAACGAACTTCGCATTAAAAAAATACATGATTTTTTAAACATGCCAGCATGGACTAAAAGAGGCAAGTCTTAGCGGTTTTCTGAAAACGTAGTTTCTTAAATCGCAGCTATACAGGTAAGCTTATTTTTATAGATTTCAAGTGCAACAATGAGAAGATCGAGTTATGGTAACGGGCGGAACACGAAAGGCAAGAGGACGCCAACTCAACCCTTATTTTCTTCAGAAAAGAAGTTATAAGTAAAGAAGGATCTGGAAGAAAAAAATTATCTTAAAGCCGTCAATAATCAGAATGTTAGAAAAAATGTGAACATTTGTGCCGGATGAGCAGTAGCGGCAGCTGTCGACGAACAACCAGCATCATCAGCACGATTCATATCAGTAGTGGTTGGAATACGTTCGTGCCGTACTTGCCCCTCCTGCTGTTGCTGCTGTCGTACATCATTCTCAAAACATTCCAATGAAACAGAGGATTTGCGACGTTGCAAAAATTCACCGAAGCACCCGTATGCATTCAGTTCATCTGCTTCCTTCCGATCTTCCACCACAACCTGCTCGCCCAGCAATAGCCCATGATATTTGCCAACCGGGCGAAGTATCGGTCTTTTATAATTTTTTCGGATTCCACGTTTACGCTCGAAAGCTAGTGAATCCATGCAATGCTCGGCCTGCAACTCGTGAAGATGCTCTAGAAAAACTGAAATAAAGCTTGTTAAAAAAAAAAAAAGAAAAAAAAAAGAGTCAAATCGGGAGGAATGCGTCCACTTTCATGGCTGTGCAGTACTAAAAGTGAGAAATGAATTCAGGACAATTACACAGATGAAAACGAAAGGAGCATCGCTGTCAGAGCGAAACACTGCAGTGGCTGATGCCTCTTCCTGGCCATGCATAAAAAAGACATTCCCTAGACAGGCAACATGCAGGTCACGACCACGAAAAGAAGACATGTGGACTGCAGACGATCGGCGAATTTTGCGTACCACTGAATATTGCCCGAAACACACAGAAATGCGAGTGCATGGATTTAGGGAAAGATAACAAGCGTGTGTGGCGGATAGAGCCATCGTAGGACAGGAGGCGGTCTAGCATCGTTCCACTCGGCGTCCGGATAAATTCCAGTGACATCACAGGCTCTGTGCCAACAGAGCACGTTAATCTGGTAACATATGGAAAGAAATCACGAAAAGCACTGTATTTGACAGCAGTCGCTCGTTCAACTCAGTAGACCGCATTTCATCTTCTCCAGAGATCAATAAACGGCCAGCGCACCGACTGCCGGTGCGAAAATGCGTTTTTTGCATAGCTCCCCGCGAGTTTTTGTCGCTAATGGTGCCGATTTTTCCTGCAGATGCTTCTAGCTAAACAAATTAAGACAGGCCGCGAGGACTGTCAGGAAACACCCCCTTAAAATTTCAGCCTGGTTCTCGAGTTAGCAATTTACCCGCAAAAAAAAAAAATTCACGGGCCCATACACAGGGACCATGCATTCCCGGGGACTGGGTTTGAACTCATTAATACCTACGAGGACGAGGAATCTCCTCTTAAAATTCCAGCCTTCTAGCTTTTCAGGTTGCCGAGTTAACAACTTACCCGAAAAGTTTCATGAGCCCGTACGTGGGTACCACGCATACCCGAGGGCTGGATTTGAACCTGTTAAAACTTAGATGGACGGGGAACGTACCCTTAAAATTTCAGCTTTCCAGCTTCTCTAGTTCTCGAGTTAGCAGCTTGCCTGTAAAAAACTTTGGCGGGCCTGTACGTGGGTACCAGGCGGATGAGAGCGCCCATTTTGGGGATGGGGGCCCGTACATGCATATAGATTAAGTTCCCGAAATTTCAGTCTCGTAGCTTTTGTAGAGCTCGAATTGAAAAATCAGTATAGACAAACACACAGGTACACAAACAGATAAACCCTCGTCAAAATGCGTTTTCTGCATTTTCAGCTACAAAACGCTGTGCCGTTGATGCGCACGGCTAGCCTTCTACGGATAACGCTTCCAGCACAGTCAGTCAGACCACATCTGCAGATGTATCTGTGCAAGACGGCAGAAAAGCAAATGGTACGGAGAAATATATATAGAAATGCAACCAGTACCTCTCGTGAAACTGATCAATCCGTGCCAGTAATGCGGGAAAGAAATAAGACAGTGAGGAGTTATCAGTTCCTAGACAATGCGCTTCAGTTTGCAAGGAACAACAACGATTAATAAGATTTTTAGCAATACGAAACAAAAAAATCGCAGGCACCAGTCCGGGTCCCTCCTTCACATAAAT